CCGTCGGTGGCAAGCGGACCCGCGTTCGTAATGTAAACTTTACGGGTGTGATAGTCCTTGTGCCGGCAAATGACGTCAGGCAACCAGGCGTAGCGTTTGAGTGAGTTGAAGCAATCCATTCTCTGTCAATTCATCGTCGTATTCGGTTCTCACTTTTCTTGATCAAAGTGCGATTTAATCTGATAGGGACCGATGCTATGTTAAGCAGTTTCAGCTCTTTCATTCAGCATAGCAAGCAACAAACATGACAACCACTGCAAACTGCACGACAAGCTCTTGGTATGAAACATCGCTCAGATCCACAATACAAAAACGCAGATGCCTGACGACCGCCAGGCCTATGAACATCTTGTCATTTCTTAGTACCTGAGGTGGGCAATCTACGCCTCAGCGGAAAGCAAAGTAACCTGTGTCAGTGACACAAAGTGACCTGTGTCAGTGACACTAGCTCCGCCCGGTTTGTGTCCAGCCACCACTGCATGACATCAGGCTAACTTTGTCAGTAGATTAACCGACTGACAAAACGCGACCACATTGCTCTGCTTGCAGTTAGCTGAATAAGCAAATCATAAGGAGATAGATAACCGGCACAATCACACAAGCAGCAGGTACAAGGGATGGGATTCTCTCCAACAATTTTCGTTCGGTAAGACAGTAGTAATAGCCTTATTCCTCGAAAAAAACCAAAAAGAGATATAGATGCACTGATACAAAAAGGAGAGTGGAGATATAGATGCATTGATATTTAGGGAGCATGCCTTTATCGCAACGAATAGCGGAACGCATATCATTTGCTTCTACTATTCGTTTCGATAAAGGCACGTTGCAGAAATATCAACGCATCTATATCTTCATTCTCCTGGTTTTTCCACAAGGAACAAGGCCTTTACTACTGTTTTATCTAAGTGCATAATGCTTCTCGCAAATGCACTGAACAACTTACGTAAACCTCGTTCTGCTCCCCATCTGTTTCTCGTTGTCAGAGCTAGCGGTGGGGTGTTGCCAAGTGCTGACATGCTATCCATTACACAACGAGAGCCCAGCCGTCTTCTGCCATCTGGCAACCGCCACACTGCTGCGTGGACTGCTCAGTCCGTCAGCAGCCATCCAGCTGCCGCAGGTCACGATCGCTTGGTATAAAGATCGCGATGGGCAGCAGATAGCAGAAATTTTGCCAGCATTTCTTTTTCAGACCAAACGATTTATCTAAAAACTTCCAGCAGGCGCGGTCAGCAGACGGGTCACTGGGTGGCGTAGCCGGACCGGGCGTCCGCCGCCGGCCCGAGACGGCTATGTGTGTAGACCGGAGCGGGGCGGCGGACGCCTGGCCCGTGTCAGCTTACAGATCGGACGAGTGGGCGGTGGATCGTGGGTTTCCTGGCGGCGATGGCCATATCTTGATATTGTTAGGAGAGGCGCTCGGATGCAAGCGATCCACTCATGCGCCAATCCGCTCACCATATTATGTGCTGCTTAATATCCATGATAGAAAGTAAACATAAAATCAAATCAAAGACGGCCATTATGAGGTCAGCCCGCCCCGTGACCCCGCTGAGGAGCGGGCTTCCCAAGCTGCCATCCGTCAGATGCACAAATCCCCCCGATCTGACTCCTGACACGGGAGGATGAAAGCCGGCGATAGGGTCCATCGTGGTCTGGACTGGCAGGTACATGGCGAGTCGACCGGGCCCAGCGTGGGAGAGCGGCTGCTTTCCCCGCCGGAAACGACGCATGGCTGTTGGACGGTGGCGGCGTGTTGCCCAGTGTCAACCGCTGCCTCGAGGCAGCTTTTGCTGGCCGCTTCCTGGCGGTAGTTTTGAAAGAGCTGCCCTGAGGTATTTAGTGAATGGTAGCTTGTAATGGGTTTATGGTTTGAAGCGCGGTAGAAATGTCTGCGAGTTTAAAGTGACCCAGTTATGGCTGACCCACGAGATATGAACAACAACAGGCTTATTATATGCACGCTAATGACGCGCTTTCCAGGGATGCTCACACTTAATGACAAGCAGGCCCGCAGCCTAAGAGAGCTTTAACGTCAAGTAATTAAAAATTGTTTAGGGTAAGCGATCACGTACACCTTTGTCATCATGGATTTCACCCTCATCAAATCTCCACCGACGAGAAGCTTGGTTTTTAAAAAGTTGCACGTTCATGTTTACAAGATACTTGAGTGTAGGCTGATTGATCAGGTGGCATTTCTGCAACCTTGCATTGGCAGCCCCATTCCCCCTCAATGACACGTTCGATTATCATGTTTTAAGTAAAATTTTTCAAGGGACAGAAACGCCGATGGTCGTGCACCATAAGCCTTAATCTTAATCCAGAATCTTAACGAGATGAGTCCAATTGACGAAGATTGACAGGGACAGAGAGACGGATCTATTGACGGAGACAGCAGAAAATCATGCTGGCAAGTGGGGGTCAACGCGAGCAGTCTCATGCAAAGTCTCACGCACGACGTGTGCAAAGCATGGATATAACCATTTTCAGATGTTTTTAAGGACTTGTGTCAGGTCTCGGCTGCCGGAGTAAATATGCTCGCAAAACCAACTGTATAAAGCATGATAATGTACTGTCTTTAAACCAGCAAACGATCCCAACACTAACAGACCAATATGCGCGCCAGTGATAAACCGCAAAGTCAACAAGGTTTTCTTTGCCAGGACTGGCCTTGAACACCACACACTGAGGCCTAAACCGGGACAAGCCGGGCCCCGAAAGCCACCTGGGCACGTGACCCGGTCTGATGTGACCAATATTCACTAAAAATACTTGCGTTTTTGCCATGCGTCCGCCGCAATCTTCTCAACTGCAAACTACTGAAAATTTATTCACTTCGCTGACTAAAATTGTCGGGCCTTGACGGCCTAAGGCCAGCTTATTACCCAGCCATCAAAACCAATAGCTCGGACACCAAGCTTCCGTCCATCCCCTGTCAATAAGCTCATAGGCTTGTGAAAGTAGGATATTACTGTGCTGATACCATGCTCTGATATCCTACTGGCATAGGCTTCTGAAAGTGGTAGCTCCATCATCAACGTGGTAACAATAGCGCTGTCTGTTATCACCTCAGGCCGTAACCGGCGTGCTACGTTACGGCCAATAGCCTTAAAGGATTTTATGACGCACGCCACTGCTACGGTCACAAACGTCGCGGCGCCTATTCTGTCACGCTGATCGTAGCGGAGAAACCGAATCACACGATGTGGCAAGTCCCAAGCCTGGGACCTCGCTGTAGTCAGGCGTTCTCTGACACCGAGCCCCACGTCTTCCAAGGTCACCTGAGAAGTCAGGCAACTCGACCATCTTTTGTCACACATCTACCCCCACCACCCACCACCCACCCCACCGCGCACAAACACAGACGCTGTAGGCCGTCTAGGAAAACAACAGCGTACGCACCGCAGCGCGAGCGGCTTTAAAACATACCAACTTACTACCGTTCGATACATGTATCGCTCCACATACCCTCCAATTTCCCTCTATTATGAATACTTTTTGCCCCCTCTCAGCGTAAGAGATAATAAGTCCACAGACCAACGATCGTTTTCCAGCTCGTTTCTTCAGCGGACTCGATACATGCATCACAATAAAAGACCTAGAAGTTCTACGTACGCTTGCCGCCACTCGCAGTTGCCAGCAATGAACACGCCTCTGCGCCATACTTCGTCACTATCAGACCGGCCAGATCCGTGACGATAACCGGCACGAACGGCTGGGGTCAACGGCCAGTGCTGACGCTCTTGTTGTTCGTTGTCTCACTAATTCGTGGCTTCATGCTCGCTCTGAATGGATTTCCTGAATCTGCGGCTGATTTTTGCCCGTGGATGATGAGGTAGAGCGTCCGGGGGGGGGGGGGGGGGGGAGGAGGGGAGAGGAGCAGTCATCGCACCACGTCAGCCCCAGCCCGCCTGCATGAGTGTCCCAAGGGGGCGTCTGGTCGTCAATAACACGCAGGAGTTTGGTGGACAAGGAGAGACCAAATTGACGTGCGCATGCCGCGAAGTGCAGCGGACAGCTCATGAAGATCAGGCTAATGACCACTGGCTTGATTGCTGATCAGCTCTGGCCATTGTCAGCCATGCCAACATGTCATGTCACCGTGTGTTATCACCATGCCACGTCACCGTATCATTCGCACGAAGCCCGTGAACGGGGTGAACCTGAAGGTTTTGCCTGGGTGCTTCAAACATATGCTGATGCGCGGACCAGTGACTGAACCACCCGCATGGACCATAACCTGCGCCCCCCCCCCCCCCCCCGGCGGTGCGCACGGCGGCAGGACAGCGGTCCTTCACATACCGGACGGCGTCTGTCATTAACAACCTGCCTGGGGATGCTCGAAGACTGAATTCACCAAGTTTTAAGCGCACTGCCAGTTCCTTTTTAGTGCGATGAAGTTGTGTCATGCTGTTTATGTGTGTTTATGTTTATATAATTATGTCCCTATCACCTCCCGTTGTTTTTGTTTGACATCCTGTTTTATTTCTCAGCGTAATGGCACGTAATAGTCACGCATGTATGTAGAGTGTCAGTTGATGCCAAATACAAATCACCATCATCATCATGTCATGACACCTTTTCATGTCCGTGTACCATACTAACATGCCATATCACCATGCCATGCCACCATGTCATGTCATCATGATAAGTTATGCCATGTCATGCCATGTAACCATGCTACGTCACCATGCCATGCCACCATGCCATGTCACCATACCATGCCATGCAATTAACCGGCAAACACAGGTCCCCTTAGGAGCTAGAACATACCAGTATCCGCCTCTGGAAGCTCTGACCCGGCTTGCGCTGGGGCGCGAGCTGCCGTTTCCGCTTCGCACCGCACGCGCCAGAACAGACACACAGCACTCGAGCTCGGCTGCCTCGAAGTCCGGCAGCGCGTCACTCAGCTGCCGGCCGAGGTCACGCCAGACGGTGTCGTTTGGTGCCGCTCAGTGGTGCATTCTGCGATGGCCTGACACTGTCGTTTCCGCACGCAGGGCGACACAAGCGGCAGTACGGTCCACCGCGTGCCTACAGCATCACCGAGGTCACCACTCGGCCGTCGCAGGGCGGCGGCGCCGACCCGGCGCCCACCCCCACCGGCGTGGCCAGTTATCAGGGCTACCCGATCCCGGCCGCTCCGCCCATCGAGGCCGTCGACCAGCAGCTGGTGGCGGGGGTGCAGGGCGGTGCGTCGCCCGCCGAAGAGCAGCAGCAGCCGGCCTACTCGCAGCCGCTGCCCGCCGAGGAGCAGCAGCAGCCGGCCTACTCGCAGCCGCCGCCCGCGCGACCCGAGCCAACCGTCGCTCAGCCGCAGCCGACGTACTTCCAGGCGGAGACGCCGCAGCCGCAGCCGACGTACTCTCAGCCGGGTACTCAGGAGCCTCAGCCGACAGCTGCGGCGCCTCAGCCCACGTCCTCTGAGCCCACAGTGCCGGCGCCTCAGCCCACGTACTCCGAGCCCACAGTGCCGGCGCCTCAGCCCACGTACTCCGAGCCCACAGTGCCGGCGCCTCAGCCCACGTATTCTGAATCAATAGTTTCTGCATCTCAGCCCACAAGTTCTGCACCTGAGCCCACTTATTCTCAGCCTATAGTTCCTGCGCCTCAGCCTACTTATTCTCAGCCCACAGTTCCTGTGCCTCAGCCCACTTATTCTCAGCCTACAGTTCCTGCGCCTCAGCCCACTTATTCTCAGCTCACAGTTCCTGCGCCTCAGCCCACTTATTCTCAGCCTACAGTTCCTGCGCCTCAGCCCACTTATTCTCAGCCTACAGTTCCTGCGCCTCAGCCTACGGTTCCTGCGCCTCAGCCCACTTATTCTCAGCCTACAGTTCCTGCGCCTCAGCCCACTTACTCTCAGCCTACAGTTCCTGCGCCTCAGCCCACTTATTCTCAGCCTACAGTTCCTGCGCCTCAGCCTACGGTTCCTGCGCCTCAGCCCACTTATTCCCAGCCTACAGTTCCTGCGCCTCAGCCCACTTACTCTCAGCCTACAGTTCCTGCGCCTCAGCCTACATACTCTCAGCCTTCAGTCCCTGTACCACAACCCTCCTACTCTCAGCCTGCCGTTCCATCCCCACAGGCCACGCAGCCTCAGCCCGCCGTTCCTGCCCCGCAGCCCACATACAGTCAAGCTGGGCCAGCCGCTGCGCAGCTCCCCTCCTCGCAGCCGGCCGCTGCGCCCGCCCCTCAGCCGTCGCCAGCTGTTCCGCCCGCGCCGCCTGCCCAGGCGCCGGCCGCCGCCTCCGGGGCTTCTGCTCAGCCTCGGCCGCAGCCACTCGGAACTTACGGCGACGCCTTCTTCGGAGGTGAGCAGAACCACCGGCGAAGGGAGGGGGGGGGGGAGGCAGCTAACATCGCTTAATACGAGATCGGGTGGCCGGTTGGATACCCCTCGTTCGGGCGGGAGGTGGGGGCAGTTTGACCCCTCTGGGATCTCAGAAACTAAAAGAGATAGAGCCTTCAAATTCACAAGGTATGTTGGTCTGTGCGCGAACTCACTTAGGGCAAAGTTTGAGTCTCCTTTATTATGACCTTCGGGCCAAGTTGGTCTACAACTTGGCCCGAGTTGGCCCGAGTGGTTGGTACAACAAACTCCAAGTTGGTCTACAAAGTGTCCCCAGAACCTGATACCTGTTCTAAGCAAACGGTCACGTGCTCACTCAAGGTCCGTGACCTTTTTTGACGTTTCGAAGGTCATGGTGACCAAAATCATAGAATACTGCTTTGAGTTCTGCATTTGAATACGCGACAAAGATTCAGCTAGGCAGTATATTCCTAGAACGAAACGCTAACCTTGATCATTTTAGGTCAGTGACGTATTCTGGCCTACAAGAAGTCCATGGAAAATGCGTAATATAGTTATTGTTGTCAATAAATTCGAAGTCAGCACCAGAATCTACTCCAATCTCCCTAGAGTAATAAAACAGGTTGGTTTGACTTCGTTTTGACCTTCATATATGACCCTAGGTCAATGGAATTCGGTCATTCCATTCTTGCATTGCCTAAGAAAGCATCTCAAAGATGTGTAGCTTCGTCTAACATTCCGTTGCCCCATCAATTTGAAAGATTCCCTTGGAATTGCCTTCGCTGAATCCATGGCCTGATTTGACCGTCCGTAAGTCAGCGATCTTGCAAAGTGCACCCTATTTTTGATACCACACGATCCGCTATTAAATTGTCTAAGGCTATGCAAAATTTAGCGCGGCTACACCGCGGCGTTCGGAAACCATTCCGGAAAAAACAATCAGAATGAGGGAATCAATTTGACCCCCACCCGAGCGTGCGGTGACCGACAAACGGTGACACAGAGTAAACATATCACTTTTCGCAGGCTTAAGATGCTCTTTCGACAGCGACGCAATCGACAATGACAATCAATTACGCAATCGCACAATTGCTACAATCGACAATCTTCAGCGAAAATCGACGCACCAAATCATATATCTCCGCAACGTATTGCCCATGTATGGGGTAGGGGGAGAGGGACAGCATCAAGCGATTGGCTGGGCATCCTAGCACCGCATTTTCCCTTGCCTGGGGTCACTTAAAGTCAAGTAGATACGAATATTTTTTGCAACAATACAGCGTCGTAGACGAGTCATCTGCTGCGTGGCACGATCATTCATACGAAATAACATCGAATGTTACAGTATTATTGACTTACAAAACATTATCTGCAGCAGTGGCAGCACCGGTCAAAATTAAATGAGGCGAACTGTTCAAAGGTGTGATAATTGCTTGGTGCATGGAAACAGCGTTCCACAAAAGTGGTACTTCTAACCTTGTGAATAGTGCGAAAATAACTTAGGTCGTAAATACACAAAAACTTGTAGACGTACTAAACATGCCAAAATACACATGTACATTAAACAAGACAATGCAACATTATATGTAAAACTATACCGTCAAAATGCAAGAAGGCTTTAACGTCACCAGGTACACTGTTCAGGGATAAGCACCTTTAAATTTAGGCAAATTAGTTACCGTAACTGGCTGGCGAGTCCCTCTAGTCCTTTACAACCAGCGTCACCGTAACTGGCTGGCGAGCCCCTCTAGTCCTTTACAACCAGCGTCACCGTAACTGGCTGGCGAGTCCCTCTAGTCCTTTACAACCAGCGTCACCGTAACTGGCTGGCGAGCCCCTCTAGTCCTTTACAACCAGCGTCACCGTAACTGGCTGGCGAGCCCCTCTAGTCCCTCACAACCAGCGTCACCGTAACTGGCTGGCGAGCCCCTCCAGTCCTTCACAACCAGCGTCACCGTAACTGGCTGGCGAGCCCCTCTAGTCCTTCACAACCAGCGTCATCATAACTTGCTGGCGAGCCACGTACAGCTGGTGCTGAACAAGTTGAAAGTGACGCCTTTCGCTGGACGGGCTCGTGTCGGGGTGCTTTACCACGCTAGCGGAGAGTGATGGCTTGGCATCTCCTGTTAGCTCGCTTCGCTCAGGGGTTTCACTGCATTGTCTGGCAGCCCTACATGATTCGTGCACGATGTAAGCCGTGCGTGACCGACGACATGCCAGGCTTCATAGAATGGAGCGTCCGCGGTGGCTGCAGCACGCGCCACCGTCGACTCAGGCACGCACGTGCAGATGGGGAGAGCCGCCCCGAACGCTTCATTTGGGGTTGAACTTGGAGCAGATCCTAAAAAAGTGTGGTAGTTTTCACGGCTCGTCAGATTTCGGTTCCTTTCACCTGACAAACTGTGTTATGACAAGCTTCTTCCCAGCAAAAATTGTTCAGATTTTCCTCAAAGTCCAGAAATGCTCATTTTGCCCAAGCACGTCCGTCATAGAGGAAGAGGCGGGGGTTTGCTCCACGGGGTCCTTGGGGGGAGGAGAGGGGGAGAGGGGAGGGGGAGGGGGGGAATCGGCGGTCCTGTGATTGGAAGCGCCGATGGTTGCCAAGGTTTATGCCGATGTATGTGCCGTGGTATGGTGCTCCGGCCGGGGAGTTTCAAACATCGATGGCCTTTCTTTAGTTTTGGAGAACGTGGCTGATATGCTTCGAGGAGGTGGCTGCACACTTGGACCCAGGTGCCTATCTCTTTCCCTGGAGACGAGAGAACATGGACAGTGTCAAAGGCTTTAGCCGGCGTTGATCGTACCTTCGACGGAACGCTCTGAGCGCGAGACTCACCCAGCTTTCAAACACGTTTTTTCCGTTTTCTTTTTTTGAGATCTGCCCAAGTCTGCCCGCACGTTCGGAATTTCGGTAGGTGCTCGCACTTAATTTAGCTTCGGCTGCTTAAATTGCGCTAATGCAACGAAGATTCCCCGTGGTGCATTTGATGGGACATTTTACGTCACGAAAAATGATAAATTTCACTCACTCCAAACGAGTTATTTGGGAATGTCCCATGATCCGGAATGACGCCATCTACCGTCACGGACCTGGCCGCCACCCTCCACTGCCGGCCCATGATTGGCTGGCTGTGACATCACGTGTACAACGCAACGGAGTTAAGTATTGCCTTTCGCGCAAGTGGCATTTCTGGCAGCTCTACAACAGCAAAACAGCTAGCATGGGTCCAGCTTGCCACTATCAATTATATCGCGGAACTTTCTGGCAAGCTTTCAAGGCGAAACGTTACCTTTCCGTTCAGTTGTTAACTGCTTCAACACAGGCCATTTCGAAAATGCTGGATATCACCGATGAGTCACTCTAGAGATACCACTTCCCGGAATTCGAGCGTCATACAAACCAAGGCCGGGGGACCAGATGTCTCAAAGACACCAAGCAGACAGACAAACCAAGCCCGGGGGCCCAGATGTCTCAAAGACACCAAGCAGGCAGACAAACCAAGCCCGGAGGCCCAGATGTCTCAAAGACACCAAGCAGGCAGACAAACCAAGGCCGGGGGACCAGATGTATCAAAGACACCTAGCAGGCGGACAAACCAAGGCCGGGGGACCAGATGTCTCAAAAACACCAAGCAGGCAGACAAAGCAAGGCCGGGGACCAGATGTCTCAAAGACACCTAGCAGGCAGAAACTCATCCCTTCTAAGTTCCATGCCGACCAGCCAATGAAACAGGGCTCAGTCTGCTCGTGTGCCGGGATAGTGATGCAGTCATGTAGACAGCAGGCCAACAAAGAGCCGCAAGGGCCCAGTCGCTCCACGACGGTGCAGTCTTCCCCACTCAGCCTCAGTCTTGCATTCCGTTAGGCCCACAAACCCACAAACGGGTTTTACACACTGAGGGCCACTTTCATAATGTTATGTATCATAATCTAACACATCAAATAACATTATTCAGCAAGGCCCACAAACAATGTACCTCGAGGCGTCTACTAATCTGGGCAGGTTTCGGTCAGACTCGTATCTGATTGGCTGGCAGCAGGAGTTGTTGCCACAGACAAGAGTGGGTAGGTGAGGGGGGCGTTCACGCTTTTCTGTCCACGTAATGCCAAAGGACACCGTGTTAAAAGTACAAATCCAAGCATAACCCCCGGCATTCCTGCTGCATAGCCCATAGCTCTTAAGGTGACTGCGCTCCACGCCTGCGGCCCGCGATCTAACGCTGCCGATGGTCCCCAGGTGAAGCCAGTGCGGCGCCGGGCCGGCAGCGCCAGCGGCCCGGGCCCCAGCCGCAGTACAGAGAGCCCGGTCTGGGCGTGCCTGGCGACGGCGGCTTCCTCATGCCCTGGAACGTGCCCTCCAACATCCAGATGGCGCTGCGGGACGGACTCCGACCCGGCTGGTAGGCCGGACTGGTCGAAGACGTCTCCGCCGGAGGCCGGGTGACAATGCGGCTGCAGATGGCGCCCTTGTCGGAAGATAGGTGGCAGCACTGCTAGAAAGCCACCGGCGCTGAGCGGTCAGATTGGCTGAAGATCATGACGGAAGCAGACAGCTTGCGCGCCCAGCTGCTGGAATGCTGAGACTGTATCACGTACTGTGTCTTAGATGTTGTAAGCTGTCTGCTGATGCGTGTGGAGCTGGCCACATGCCCGTGGCAGATTACCGGGTGCGGCGTTTAAGACGTTACTGAGCTTACCCTTAGAAGTCGCTGGTGAAAAAAGTTTGCGCAAGCTCCGATTATTAAATATGATGCAAGATTATGATTGTGCTAGTTAAGTTATGTGATCGATCAAAACCCACCAATTGAATCAGACCTTTGCTTTCATGGGGCTCAAAATAATGTACTTGTTCCCTACTTATTAGTCAACTACAAGAACAGATTGTGCGAGCTCTGGTCTCCACCTGGAGTCACCGAACCCACGAAGGTGTGTGCCTTCGCCCCAATAGAATGCTCGGCCTGCACTGTGTGCCTTGGCGCCAATTAGTTCACAGCAAATAGTAGTATTGAAGACGGGATGCGTTTGTCGACACCACCTGACAAGCAGAGACCTCTGGTGGTTGTCTCCGTCACTCAACAGCTGTAGGCGGACACAGACCTCTGATGGCTGTGTCTCCGTTCTCCAGCAACAGTAGTCTCCACGTTGTCGTGTCGCAGTTCGCGCCCGCCGGCCGAGTGTCCGCAGTATTTTTGTACCGCAGTGCTGACACGCATGTCCGTGTTCTCCAGTCCTCAAAGGCGCGTGATTCGGCGCCGTAGCCATGGGGGTGCGCTTCTGTGTCAGTGAAACTGCATGTCTGTAGCCCCGTGTACGCCAACAGCCGCGGCCATGTGACATGTGACATGCGCCATGTGTGTGCGGGAGCGTCAGGCTGCCCCCTCGCCTCCCCCTCCCCCATGGCTCCACCGCTCCGATGTCTCGCGGTGGCACGCGTACTTCGCTCAAGACGCAGCGTAACAACGCCCGCGCCGTATTCCGAATCGTCTCAAAACATCATACTTTGTGAGAGGTAGCTACAGCCGTTAGTGCAGTCGTGAGCCGCGGCGATGGTTCGTGACAGCGACGTGGAATCCGCCGGGACCGGTCGGACCTGTGGACAATCAATCACGCTCGCCACATCCATTTATCTGTAAATACATAGCGAAGTTACATCGTGTGTGTTACAGCTTAGTTACAGCGTAGTTTGAGCGTAGTTACGGCGCAGTTACAGCGAATTCACAACGTCGCTACAGCACAGTTATGGCGTTTCTTGCTGTCAGGCTCCTGACAACTCTTGCAGGTAGTTCCGACTAAACCCCTGACGAAAGGTCAACCGCAATGGACTCAGAGCGGTACAGGCCCGTCCAGCCACTCCAGTTCTTCCGGCACTGGTCAGTAAACTCAGTGGGCGGGACTTGCCACGCGGGAGGCCCATTCGGGCATGCATGCGCACTCACCAGTCTTACTCTTGGGGAGAGAGGAATTAGACGACAGGTCGACAGAGATGCCCTGCTCTCGACATCAAGGTATATATGCCATACAACCATATTAGATGTGTACAACAAAACAAAACAACAATGCGGTTCTTGCGGGTTAGTTTCACAGGTTATATGGTAAAAGAATGGTCCGTGTCTGCCGGGTGGACAGCCAGCTGAATGGCCGCATCTGTCATCGGAGATGTCCCGCTCCTAGAGGATGGCCGCCGCTCTTGTCGCAGGGACACGAGATCGGTCCCATGCTGCAGAATGATCCCTAATACAGTCCCGTCGCGACGCGACTGCTGGAATGAGCCGCTCTCCTCCGGACGTTTGATTTCAGATCGCTGCTCATTTGGAGCAGCTGCTAAGCGCAGTGTCCACACCCGCCGAGCTCAATGAATATGAATGCTTGTGTGGGTGACGGGGTGCGGTGGCGCTCGCGACTGCGCCGACAGACAGCTGCACGTGCACCTGGTGCCCCCCTCCCCACGCCAAGCACACATGCGCGCAGGACTAGAAGCTGCTCGCCGCAGACGTCGCGCGTAATCGTCGAAGAACGGTGCCGCGCGGCTTCACTCCCGCGGCTGGCGTCCGCGCCGGAGAGACGCCGAGAGGCGCCCAGACGAACGCCAAGAGGAGCTCAGACATACACCACGGGCGCCCAGACAAACGCCAAGAGGCGCCCAGACATACACCACGGCGCCCAGACAAACGCCAAGAGGCGCCCAGACGAACGCCAAGAGACACCCAGACAAACGCCGAGGTGCGCCCAGACAAACGCCGAAAGGCGCCCGGACAAACGCCAAAAGGTGCCCAGACAAGCGCGAAGGGGCGCCCGGACAAACGCCAAGAGGCGCCCGGACAAACGCCAAGAGGCGCCCGGACAAACGCCGAGAGACGCCCAGCCAAACGCCGAGAGGCGCCCAGACAGACTCCAAGAGGCGCCCGGAAGAACGCTAAGAGGCACCCAGATAAAAGCCAACAGGCACCCAGACAAACGCCAAGAGGCGCCCAGACAGACGCCAAGAGGCGCCCAGAAGAACGCTAAGAGGCACCCAGACAAAAGCCAAGAGGCGCCCAGACAAACGCGGGCGACTCGGGCTCGGTGCCAGAATTTGCAACCGGCAGAGTCGTTTGGGGATTTGATGAAGCACTGGTACAGCCAATCGAGGATTTTGAGGATCTCAAGACATTGAGCGCCTCAATCTCCCACCCCGAGTGGTGCAGAGGGCGAGAGAGTTGAACTGTTGGCCGGGAATCAGATTCGAACCCGACCCGTGGCGCGACACGTGGTTTGTACATGTACACACTGCCAACTGAGCTGCAGCGACCGATCCACTCATTGCAAACACCAAGATTGTTCGCCGCCTCACGGCTTCCATAAACACCATCTCCGACATCTGGTGGTTTTATTGAGAAAACGATATCTCGGCTTATTAGTGATCAACATCAGCACAGAGAACTCAGCAGACCCAGCGACAAAAAAGGCCAGCATTAGGGGCTTTGGATCTAAACGCAGCCTTTGACTGCTGCTGCCACATCCAGGCTCCGCCAGAGCGGGGCGTAGACTGACACGTGACAGCGCCTCGGAGTCCTGGCACCGCTGCGACCCGAGCTAGCCGCCTTCTGGCTGGTGCAACAGACTTGCAACGACATGCGAAACGATATCGAGACATCTGTTGCGTCCTCATGCCGACCTGCATTAATCCGTTCCAGTAATGTGGGTCAGTGAGAATAAAGTGTACGGCAAACGCGACGGAAACGCACTGTTAGCTGATCCAAAAACGGCAGCAAGATCAGTGGGGTTATAACATTTTTAGTTGGCATTCTGACCTCAGGACGCATGCCGTGACCCCCGGGGCGGACACATTGAACAGAAACACGTGCTGGTAGTCTTCTCGACTCAGCCATCCACTTCCCATTAGCCACGGGTTGCAGTATGGGCTACTTACTAGCGTGGTGAAACGCCGTGCCAAAAGGACCACGAGGCGTTTGGATTACGCGTTTGGAAAGGCTTAAACAAAAGAAAACGACTTTTCCAACGAAAAAAAGGCGCGGAAGGAGCTATGGCTCGTGAGATTTAGCTGGCGCGAGCTACTCATCGATGGATTTTGACCGAAGACGACACTAACGCGCGCACTAATGTGACGCAACATTCGTGAGGGGCCAAGGCGAAAGCTACGCCGCTGAAAGGTAGTAACGTGTGCTGGCCAAACACCGTCGATTTCCGCTCACTGGAACAACAAGTACCTACGATTGACCACACCTAGCTGACGCTGATCTTTTGCTTCGTCTTTATCAATTCCCGCAGGTTGTTTTCGGACTCCTTGAGGCTCTTCTCCAGGTACTGTTTATTGCTCTGAAACGCACATGGTTAATGACAGCGTGTATCGAAGCAGTCGAAATGATATCGAGCTTTACCAAGCCATTAACCACAGCCGCTTTAACACGCGCCCAGGTGGACGGTTGGATACCCTTCGCTCGGGTGGGGATGGGGGTCACTTTGCCCCCCTCCCGAGATCTCAGGAACTAAGAGAACTGGAGACAACAAATTCACAGGGTGTGTTGACCTGTACGTGAACTCACTCAGGGCAAAGTATGGGGGTCCTGGGTCATGACCTTCGGGTCAAATAAGGTCAAACAACGTCAAATGCCAAGTTGGTTGGTTGGCATATTCAATTCCATCCTGCCAAATTCCAGGAGACACATTGGCACTGATCCGCTATTCGGTCCGGCTTGAAAGTGTCTGAACCTGAACTTCTAGGCCTGAGCGTCCGAGCCTGAGCATCTGGACCTGAGCATCTGAACCTGAGATTCTAAGCCTGAGTGTCTGAGCCTGAGCATCTGAACCGAGCAGCTGAACCTGAGCTTCTAGGCCTGAACGTCTAAGCCTGAGCATCTAAACCTGAGCATCTGAACCTGAACATCTGAACCTGAGTATCTGAACCCGAGCATCTGAGCCTGAGCATTTGAACTTGAGCATCTGAATCTGAGTATCTGAACCCGAGCATCTGAACCTGAGTGTCTGAGCCTGGGCATCTGAACCTGAACATCTGAACCTGAGCATCTGAACCTGAGCATCTGAACCTGAGCATCTGAGCCTGAGCGCCTGAGCAAACACATGTACCAATTTCTAGCCTTCTCTTAGAATGAGCAGAACTCAATGATTAACAACACAGTGGCTCAACCACGATGAATCTCGTGTTAATGCAATATTTTGACGAATTCTGTCTATTCTGATGGTAGCAGTAGGACTCTGTCATAACTAAAATAACCATAGTACATATTTGACACCCCACTGGCCCAAAAAAATGGCAAACAAGGGAAGAACTTTGCGGTATTATTTTCGTGAGGTCTAAGCAAAGAACAGCAGACAAAACCAATCCACCAGCGGATTGTACCACAAACTCCTATACAGGGAACAACTTTTCTCTTGGATGGCCAAGGTTATTTTTCATTTTTCGCTTGGCATTAATGTGATCTTCCATACAATTGGGGAGTGCTGCTCAAGTCACAAAAAGCCATTCACACCTCTTTCCCACTATGCAACTTAGCTGACTGGATAATTTGTCCTGTATCTGCTGTGCAAGCATGGCACCAATGGGATCCTCAGCATACCAACCAATGCATAGCCGTGTGCGACCTCTCAATCCAAATCGTACAGTAATTATGGCTGAATTAGATCCAACAACTTGATATGTAACACAAAGCACCGACTATTAATGCAAAAACTATCTGGTGCGACCAAACATGGAGACATGCGATGCATACAACCGACGACATTTTGCCACCCGCTCACCTCCAGCTTGGCAATTTTCTCCTTGTGCGACACTTGCTTTTTCTCGAGGTTTTTCCGCACACTCTGGACGTCATTCCTGATGAACATTCGCCCAATACCGTCGTACACTCGCGTCTCATCTGGAACAGCCTGTGGACCACAAAACGACGTGTCGTCACAGCGTATCAGAGGCTGGCATTCACCCAGTCAACTATCTGCACCAGGGGTAGCATCTCTGTCACTGACCTCGTGGTGGGGAACCTGAGCCTTCTGACTTCTGATCATGCAGACAACCTTAGTAACATTTTTGTTGATCTGATAAAACAATAAGCCCTAATGCGTAGAAAATTCTGCTGGCAGTCCTGTGGCACTGGCTGTAGGTGTTACCTGAATTTCCTTATCTGTCAGCTGAGCATGCATGATCTGCCTCTTCAGAGTCTCGATCTGCATGTCTGACAGGCGGATGGACTGGTTGGTGT